CATAAAAATGCATAAAAACAAAAATAAAAGAAAATCCAATTTTTAACAAATCAAAAATGACTTACAAACAAAATATTTTTAAGTCAATGATTCCTTAAACAGTACTTAATGTTCAGTGCTCTATGATGCAAATATAAAAAATAATTATAATACATTAATTATATTTTGATTATTTTATTTATTTTAATATTTAATTTGATTATATGATAATAGTTATAACATTTTTCTACAATACTTGTTCAATTTACAAAAATATAACTGCAGAAATTTATTTAACCTTTGGCTGCATTATAATTTTTTACATTGCATGCAATGTATATTGGAATCGCCATTAATCCTATATAAAGTGCTGCACCATGCAGCATCTTTTCCTATAATAGACACAAAATTATTATTAATTACATATATTAAATAATTAAATATCTTAAATCTAATATATTACAATAATAATAGTATTCAATCATAATATAATTATTATTAATTTTTAATATCATAAATTGAACATGTATATAAAATACTTTAAACACTTTAATGTAAATAATCAAACAATTATTATTAAAATTAATTGTAAGTTATTTATTATATTTTTCATATTTTTATGTATAAATCTTATTTTATTAATATATCAATATATGAATAAAATTATATATGATAATAAAATCTAAGATAAATCCTTTTGTAATTTAAATGCTTTCCAATATAAATTTATAATTTTTCTATATATTTTGTTTTTTTAAAGAAAGCAATAAAATACAAAATTTAATTATTATATTAATAATATTTAATTATTAATAATTGATTAAATTGAATACTTCTATTCTATATAGAAATATATATTATATAAAAATATTAAAAAGATTAATAAATACTTTTGAATCAAAATATGAATTTTTTATAAAAATATAATGTATTTATTTTAAATTTATTTGCGTCGTTTCAAAAATTATATTTATATAATTCTTAATGCTTAAATTCAATATTAATATTTATATAGATATTCCTTACATTTTAACCAAAAATTATATCAAAACTACATAAAAAATAATATACTAAAATTTAATTTGTATAATTGACTTATTACGTAAGTACTTTTAGAAAAATAATACTTACAGTAAAAGATATTCTAACTCTTGGAGGTGTACCAAGTAAACTTCTACATTGAGTTTTGTATAGATTTAATGCTAACGGTGCTCTATTAGCTACTTTTTGAACAGCGAACATATTTTTTCTTTTCGAAGAACTTCCAAAGAATAATCTTATGAAATCTGTACTATTAATGTCAATATTATATTCTGAACACGTCTACATAGAAAAAAAAGTCTAGGAAATATTAAGATACATAAAAGAACTAGTCAATGATAAACATTAATCATAATTATGTATCATAAAATATAAATAGAATAACTATTATTTGGATTTTAAGCTATTAAATAAGATAATTCCGAAATGAATGAATTAATATAAACAATTTTAATTAATATATAGAATTTGTACAAAATCTAGGGAAATGTATATTACCTGAAATTGTTCACTAAACGAGATGATTCACGTGATCAAAATCTAGGGAATTCAGAATCTTGAATTGAATTTACAATTTTAAATCTTAAAATTTTTAAGACTGAATGCTAAATTTTTTGCTCATTTATTCCAAATTAGATGTTCTAATATAATTATAAAAAAATAAATTCCATATATATTTTAATTAACAAATATTAACATAACAAACTTTAATAAATCAATGAAATACATCATGATAGTAAAGCATGGTTTCGTATAAAATATATAATTATAAAATATAAATTATTATGATGATTATGAAATAAAAAATTATGAAATATAAACAAAGAATCATATTATATAATAACAATTTTTTTAACAAATTTTATAAATATAAATTTATGATATATCATATCAAAATATAACTTCTATAAATATATAATATATAATATATATATATATATATATTTCATTCGAATAGCGAGGTAGAACATTAAATAATAATTCTAATCACAAAATAAAAATAAATAATATAAGAAATATATATCGTATGATTATATTTTTATATAGGAAAATTCACTTTTCAGCAAAACAAATTATCAATATGTAACAAATTTCATACATTCTCTCTCTCTCTC